GGCATCCATCTAAATAGGCAATTAAGAGATAACTACCACGTGAATGTTGTTTTAAAAGAAAAGGATAAGAAGTTAAGAAATCTAGTTGCATCAACCCTAACTAAGCATATTAACTATAATAGAATATCATTTGGTAATACATTATACTACTCCCAGTACCTCCCTGCTTTGTTGCATGGATGTGGTGTTCTAATTCTTGACAAGACATCTGAAAAGACCCTTTCTTCAATGCAATATAAATTGGCCAAATCAATTTTTCAACTTAAATGTAACCCTGCCAAAGCAGCAATGTTAGGTGACCTTGGCTGGAGAAGCATTATTAACCTTATTCAGAAAAGACAAATTGATTATTTTCTATATCTTAAGTTCTCCATGAGGAACGGCCTACATAAGGCTATTTTTGATAAACTGTTTGAAAATTTCAAGGGAAGAGTAAAAACATGTTGGCCATATTTTGAAAACATACAAGACATTTTAATTGAACATGGCCTTGATGATGTTGTGTTTAGAGATGACAATGAATGGTATGATTCTTTTTTGACCATATCCTCCCAACAACACAAAAGTAATTTTCTATCTGAATGTTCCTCGAAATCTTCACTAGAATTTTATGAATCAATCAAACAAACCCCATTTCTGGAGAATTACCTTACTTCAAGTAATGATTTTGTTGGACAGAGATTGAAGTTCAAAGCCAGAACTGGGTGTTTAGGTATTGGAACTGACCTCAAAAGAAGAAAATGTGATGATGGTTTTTGCAAACTTTGTTCCCTTCATCCAATTGATGATTTAACACACAGATTTTTTACATGGAGTCACAACCAACGTGAAAGAATTGATTTTTACAACAGAATTAAAACCTCATGCTCCCCTGATGTATTTAATATGTTCTTAACGCTTCCTTTAAATGAAAAATTAAAGTGGTGCCTAGGAGATGTTGTTTTTAGTATTTGGGGCAAAGACCAAGGATTCTTGTTTGACAAGTGTGTCAAACAATTTTTAGTGACTATTAATAACGATATTTTAAACTCATAACATATGTACAATTTAACATATTTATTTTATCTATCTATCTGTATTGTATTGTATTTTATGAATATGTATTTGTTTTATGTACTGCCGCACTGGAATTTTCCATTGTGCCACTGATTAAAAAGTGTTTGGCAAATAAATAAATAAAAATAAAAATAAAAATATAGTTCACAAGACAACAGAATCGTCATTTTATTCCTCACTTAAGTTACAGAAACGGTTTTACAGAAAACAGTTAAGATATGCACTTTTAGCCAGTACCATTTATGTAACTTAAGTGAGGAAGTAAATCGACGATTCTGTTGCCTTCTGAGCTATTGTTTCGCAAACATGTGAATTTTCTAAAACATATGATACTGATACACGTTTGTGAAAATAAATGTCGGGGGGATTCTACCCACAACGCGTGAAATGAGGAAAAAACAAAAATCGTACCTTCAAGGTTCCGACATTTTGTTACCAAAACGAACCGTTTCGGTAACCAGCGTAATCGAGTGGATCACCAGTGATAAATGTTTAGTAACAGAAATTCAAAATTCGCCGTGTGGCTTCCGTAGGAACTATGACCGCAAACGTATCCAACCACATAAATTCTGTGGTCAGTAGGGCGAACGTAGAAATGTAACGGATGCTAAAACTGGTAGACCGTACGGTCGCCGTACGGAAATGTGACTGGAGTGTTACGTATGCCTGAGTCACATTTTCTCCGATTCATCGAGCGGCACCCGGCTGATCAAGTATTTTATTCAAAATTGTATTCTATTCTCAGCAGTTTTGAACAAAATACTCAATCGGACGGGTGCAGGTGTGAATGAAATTATGGTCCCCCTGGGATTATGGTCCCCTTTCCTAACAGCCCTTTCTGGCCCTGATTGTGTATTAGATAATAAGGGAAAGAGGTCACCATATAAATCAATGAAGACTAGGACCACAATTTGATAGGACCTTCTACCCTTTTACACCGGCTGATGAATTGGAGCAAATATGACTATTAACTATATCAGGTATTAACAACTAGTTTATTTGGCCAATACACAAATGTTCGATCAAATAGTGAAAGAAGGTAATACTAAAGACTTTAACGTAATCCATTTTCATGCCATAAGTCGTTCTCCCGCTTCCGGAACCTGGAACAATACAATTATACGATGTGACTATTTAAGTGAGAATATTATTTTAAGTTAAGATGAAGTCGTGAATCTACGTTGAGTTATCAATTTGCATAATATAGGATCATGCTCTTAAATACGTTAAGATTTTTCATTTTAATCGTATAAACTATAACTATTTCAGGAAAATAAATCTACTCTTTTTGGAGCGATGATCCCACTGAATCAAATATTAACGTAAATTAATTAACCATCATACATAGTTTCACAAAATATGAAGGACTTCGGCCTCATTTTTCTGAACATTTTCTCAGATAGATAGCTCGATCGGTGGACAGATGGACGGGTTACTAGGGAGGTTAAACCACGCGTTTTACGAGAACGTATACGCGAACGTAGACTATAATGACCCTCAGTGATTATTGCTCACTTCTTAATTGTTTTTCCAGGGATCTCAATACCCCTGTTTCCCCCCGTTCATTTATACTCAAATGGGCAAGTACAAATACCTTGCAAGTGCAATACAAGTCCCCTTGTAATACCAAGGGGAGATCGTATCCAAACATGAACTTAATTTAACACGTTCAAGTCCAAAGTCTATTGAAAGTGTGTAGCTTAACTTCTCCAATCATATATTGAACGGACATATTAACTTCATTAATTTGGGATAACTACGAATAAATATAGAATAAATAAAAAAACAGCTCCTAGTTCGAAATACAAAATTACCGAAGTTCTGCCACTCAGGTGTAATACTTTGGATGGAGAATGGATATTTGTAGACTTTCAAGAGACTGTGATGGAATGCATGATCAAGACAACATATTATTCATTAAATAGATACTATGAGTACTTTAATTTATATAATTGCACTCTGGTGTTCTGTAAACACCTGTGTATGAAACCTTATCTCAATTTAAACAAGTACAGTTTAATTGTATACCTATCGTATTTTGATCACCAGGATTTGTAGTTAAAGTTGTGTCAAATGCCGTCGTAGTTGAAGTTTTTGTATCACCAACCATGGTAGTTAAAGTAGTTGTATCACCAGTTTTGATAGTAGGAGTTGTTTTGTCATTAGGCATGGTGGTGATGGTTCTCTTATCTTCAATCGATACGTTACGTTTAGGCAATGCATCGCACTCAACTAGTAAAAACAATACTATATATAGCACGAGGTAACACATCTTCATATATACGGATAAAAGGAAAGAGTGATATGTTTGCAGGATAGAGTCATACTATGCCTCTTAAACAAAACCCAACTATCACAAAGTATAATTCAAACCGAAAAGAAACAATGTATGTCTAATACCCCTCTCCCATCATACATCTTCCATCATAACAATCCAAGACCATAACGCAGGTGACATTTCATGATCATTCATACAGACGCCAAAGCAATATATGCTGAGAAATAATTTGATAAACCAATGCTCATAATCTGATAAAAACCTTCAACATTGCCACCAGAAAACAAGATGGCCACCCAAAAGCTAATGAGCTCTAGAACTTGGAGAATTCAGATTAATATAATATTTTGTCAGCCAGAAAAGGGTAATATTTAATTTCTATAATTTGTGATAGATGTACACTCCCCTTCATAAGTTTGGAAACTCTAATTCCCCCATTGAATACGCGTTAAAGTATCTTTATGTTTTGAATCTTTGATTGCATAACCCTTATTTTAAAACCTCTGTCAATAGGGATTCCCGTTTTATGTTATTTTTGTTCAACACCAATATAGAACCCCCCCCCATGACTCCTGGTTCAAAAGCTCGCCTATTTTTAAAATGGCCGCCACTTTTGACTCGCGAAATTCACTTTTGGACCATTTGCTTTAAAACCTGTGTGGATAGGATTTCAGTTTTAAGTTATTTTTGTTCAACATCAATACAGAAAACTCCTCTATGACTCCTGGTTCAAAAGCTCGCCTACTTTCAAAGCTTTACAAATAATTTCAGGTGTTCTACATTGTAAAAACCCATGTTACTGTAAACACTAGTTGTATGAAATAATTTTGTTACAAAAAATCGGCACCAAAACGTGGTCTTTTATCCGTCGCTATAGCTACTACGAATATAGATAAATAGTTGTTCATGGAAGAAACGTACCGGGGAAAAATCGTAAGCGAATAGAAAAAGGTCTGCAAAAGAGGAGCATAATCTGTTCCCATTTGCATTCTTATATTCTAACATAAAACTGTACTTCCAAATTTTAACATATACGAGGGTTGTTCGAGAAGTCTTGTATGAACTACGAACCTTTTGAGAAAAAAATCATCAATCTAACCATCCCTGATACAAAATTATATTTACACAATGTACTTAGTTCTAACAATACCGTCAAACAAGGACTTTTTCTATAAATCAAAATTAAGGAATAAAGACCTAGACTTTATTATTTATGGCGTATATACATATATGACCGAAAATTTTATTCTGTTCATTGTTAAAAGACCGAAATCGCGTAGCGATTGATGTCTGGGAATGGCCAGAATAAAATGTGAGGTCATATATTTGACATAAATCATAAATCGAGGTCTTTGTTACGATTCTAATATGACAAACATAAAAGAAACACAAATATTTGCATTTGTGAATTTTGCCGGTCATACATACTCCAATATAGATCATAAATCAATTGTGTTAGCTATTGTGACGTCACGTATCATATTGGAATTATGTATAGAGGATAGTAATGTTATTAATGTTATAGTAACCTCGTAAAACGTTGTAATAAAATTGCAATGATAATAAAACATTGTAAAAATGCCAATTGTTAATGATCAATGTTATAACTCTTATAACCTCTATCATCAACTGCTCTGTATGTTGCCAAAAACACCGCCGCAACGTTATCAATGATACTGAGCTCGACACGTAGCCAGGGTCCAAGAGATTTAACAGCACGAGGAAAGGATGCTCCGAAATCATCACATAGTGGTTGGGCATCAATTCTTCCTGTTTCATCTATTATATTGACGTAGTCATAGATACAGCCATCGTACGTGTTTACTTCATTGAACATCAATTCAATCACCTAGAAGTACAGTGGTTTAATCTCTAAAAAGTTAAGTGCAATTTACTTTAAACTACAAATCACCACTATTACAAATTAATTGTATTTTTATTCAATGGTCGAAATTCAACCTTAGGTTCAATGAATATTGTGGAATCATACAAAGGGAATACAAACGTTTTTCTTTACTAATAATTAGTTAATATTAGTTATATAGTTAATTAGTAAAATAATTATTTATCATTTGTGGATTTGTAGAAGCTGTTTCAAAAATGCAAACCACCTAACAATGCGTGTTATACAAATACCATACAAATAATCTTGTTAAGTACAGGATTGGCCAATAAAAACTGGAACATTTCTCTTTTTATTCAATTGTCTTTGTTATTGCAGTTCAATTCACAAAATATATACACCGGAATAGCCTGACAACCATCGTGAGATATCACGGCTTTCTCTCAGTGTCCTTCTATAACGTGCATAGCAGAGATGGTCTAAGTATCAGAATGCCTGACAACGGTCAACGGTCCTCATTTCACGGGATTTTATCGTCGATAATTATGTGCATGTATTAAGCTCTTGTTATGATGTTTCATATGAAATCCCGATTTCGCTCAAAAGACCACGTGTAGTATGGCAAGAGATTTTAGACGGTCATAACTTTCACCATGAGTCCTTTCTGGCCATAAATACAATGGCTTTTATTAAAACAATATGTTTCATTTCAAATGAAGTCCCCATTTATAGTAAAATATAAATCCAACTCTCTGAAAAATTATGGATTAGGGCCCCACTCTGGCATTTTTTGAAAACTGTAAGCCTTATTTTCTAAAGAGGATCTTGTTTTTCTCAATTTAAACATATCGAAAGTCTCGTCTACACTATATTGACAATTTCTGAAAAGGGGCTGGTATTGAAATGAGTAAAAGTTAAAAACCAAATATCCCATGTTATTTTCCCATAGAAAAACAAGTGCTATCCATTGTTTTCAGCATAATTTTGGTCATCAAAAATTGATATCTTCAAAACTAGACTTTCAATATCACTATTGTTTTGAACATGTCTTAGACTCCTTGTTGAATAATGTTTTCATGCAATAAAAATCAGAAAAAGAAGATCCTCTTTTGAGTAAATAGGTTCATAATTTTTTGAATTGTTTGATTTATATTTTTATCATCATCGGTACTTCACTTGAAAGAAAACATATTGTTTTAATAAAAATCACTGTATTTATGCCCAGAAAGTACTCTTGGTGAAAGCTATGACTGTCTAAAATCACTTGCCATACTGCACGTGGTCCTTCATTTTCTAAAACATATGATACTGATACACGTTTGTGAGAAAAAATGCCGTGGGGATTCTGCCTACAACGCGTGAAATAAGGAAAACAATAAAACTCGTACCTTCGACGTTATTCACAATATTTACACCGTGTGCCTCCAAATGTTTAGTAATATCATACACAATTTTAACATTTGTTGTGACTGATAAAGAATCATGTACCTTTTTTATTCTTTGCAGAGGGCACAACAACTATTTACAATGACACAGGAAAAATTGTTTTTTTTTACCTTTCCTTCCTGAACATGAATATCCCACGAACAGTTCATATCACCTATATAGAATAGAGAATCCTCACGAAGGCACGTATAGCCAAGCGTTGATATTTCCCCTGTACTCTCGTACATCTGTCGGTTTGTACATACATCTGTCTGGCTTATTGCATTATTAGTTGATTCTACAAAAACATGTATATCGGTTGTCCCCAAAAATGAATCGTTTTTTGACAATATTTTCTCGGCAATTGATCAATCAAATTCAAAGGTGTACAAAGTAGCCCTGGAGTAGCATTAGCAAGTTTTTGAAATATAGTTCTTAAAACATCAAGTGAATGTAATGTGAGTACTGAGAAATTCAAAATAGCTTGTCAAAAAATACCATACCCTAGCTCTGAGATGGGACCTTCATTGTGTTTGTGCCAGCTATCAGGTGATAGCATCTGTCAATAAGTAAAAATAGCTTATCTGTGTTTCATGCTCAATTGAATCGTCCCATTGCTACCAAATATCCAAAAATCCATTCATTCTCAAAATTCATTGGAGCTGTTATTGTAAGAATAAATATGGAAAAGTGTTCTCACATATTATACAATGTATCTTTTACATATTCATAGTACCAGCTGGGGATACCTTAAAATATCCCAAGCAAATTAGTTTTTTAGGATTTTGGCTTATCTATTGTTGAGAAATAACTTGTCAAATTGTTTCCCATTTTTTGGTACAAACGCTATGAAGTTCTCATTACATTACTCCGGTATTGGATTTTTTGACATGCTATCTTGAATTTCTTAATTATCACATTATATTTACCTAATATTTTTTTATATTTTTACAACTTGCTGTTGTTTACGATGCTCTAGGGCTACACATTTTCATTGAATTTGGTCATTCAATTGCCGAGAAAATACTTGTCAAAAGGCGATTCATTTTTGGGAACCCGGTATATGACCTGAGGGGCATTAATGACCACATGAACAAATTACAAAAGAGAAGATACAATTTATAAAAATTCACTGGGACGATTGAATGAGCGATTTCTCATTAACTATATTGCGTAAAGATTTAACTAAGGTGTTAGGATCATTTCGTCTTGCAACTACTGCTGCTACGAATATGTTTGGAGTCAAAGTAGAGAAGAAAGCTTTCGTAGTATGTTCCTACAGTTACTTAAAATAATGTCCAACGCTGGTCAAACATAATCATAATATCTATTTTTGCACTTATTTTTGACCTTCATGAACATAGTTCATTTTTTTCTTTTTATCTCACCATGAAAATGCAGGTGGCGGTTGGTGGTTGGTGTTTGTATCAAATTCTTACAAATTCCAATATAACTTAGCAAATATTGTTTAGACTGACTTCATTTTTTTAAAATCATCTACAAGTTTTCAAAAGTTCAGATCTCACTTTAGATTTGAAAATTTACTTCACATTTGAGATTAAACATTTCTTAAAAATTATCGACAAGTTATCAGAAGTTTGAATTTGACTTAAGATTTCAGATTTGAGCTCTAGTGACCTTCTCAAGGTCAAAAAAGGCCAGGGTCTTTTTTCAAATTGCTTCAAATTCACATTTTTTTCAAAATCATCAACAAGTTCTTTGAAGTTCAAATATAACTTTAGATTTAAAACTTGACAGTTCAATGACTTTTTCAAGATAATAAAAGTCAAAAGTTTTTTTTCAACTTGCCTTAAATTGACCAATTTTATTAATCTACAAGTTCTCAGAATTACAAATCCAACTTAAGATTGAACTCTACCTGGATGCAGTTTGTTCGAAAAGAATGTTTTTCAATATTATACTTTGCTGTGTATCTAACTGAATACATATCGGTATACATTACTTGTACTGTTGTGAACTGCCCTATAGTATGCGTGGAATCCTCTCATCGTAAAGCTATAATCGGTAGAAAATTCAACATAAAGCCACGATCCCGTTGATCTATACAAGAAAGATTCTTTCATTCCACACAACTGAACACTTTGGTGGCCATCAACTAGCTTCAATACGTCACAATCACATTCATCGCATGTTTCTATTTCAAATTCACTGAACATAAGTTCAATCTCCTGTAAAATGTACAAAATGTATACGGTGTACAATTAAGATGTAAGCTATATGCAAGTAAATGTTTACTCTGACTTCTCTTTTCAATGGTTCATAATACTTGGTACCATCTATAGAATTGCTTATTATGGTTTCGACTGTAAAGAAGGAACTTATTTATATGACCTACTGAATTACCAGATGCAATTGTAGGAAAACTCAATATTCAAGCATATCTAGTAGATAAATAACAGAACTGTGAAACTGCTCCGTCACATAACATATTTTTTTATAAAAAAATTAAAAAGGTCCAATACGTCCAGATCTCATTAATACATTCAGAGTTATGCTGAAAACATATGTCAATATTATCGTGTTACTACATCATACCATTAAAAGGTTAAAAATGTACATTTTAGAGGACGATACTCTGGCGCCGTTTTCAATAGCTTTTACTCTTAGCGTTATTTGACTTCAAACAGAAGTGAAAGTTACGCGCAAATGATATATTCATTGCATGGTGTAAGTAATTTTCTTTGATATAACGAAGCATATGAGTAAAAAATAAATTTTGAAGTATTTTAAGTGTTTTTATGAAAACAGCATGCTCCGTCACAGCGGACAAATCTTTCGATACCAGCATGTGATAAACCATGACATAAAATAAAAATAATTGTCGACAGAGACTTTCAGTCTGCCAATAATGTATTGAAAGCAATATTGAAGAAAATAAGGCGTGATGGTAATGACAAAAGTATCAAGGCCATTAATGATTCAGATTTGATGAAACTGAACAATTATTTTGCCGATTGGAAAGGAAAGTTAACTGACAGAATATTGGAGAAAAGTATTTTAGAAATATAGACCGAAGAGCAGGGTAATATTGTCGAATACACCCCGCAGGGCTAGACACAAACGTTTTCCGTACCCCGAACGATCGAAGGGATATTTTATTTATATTTGACCCTTGACGATGACTGTCCATCTCAAAATCTCAAAACGTATTAAGACCCATTTTTCAAAAAACGACAATAATTTCAGCATTTAAAACGATTCATTGAAACCATTTACATCACCAATATTGAAGAAATAATCCAAAATGTTGATGTGCTGATTATGTAATTTGTTTGTATTTCTAAAAAATAGCGTCACTTGAGACCTAAAACATACACTCAAAATTTGTTCTATGTGAATTTCTGTAGCAGTATGTCGTATTCGTTGACACTTGAATAAACTGGAGAAATCCACATTCCAGCTTGAAATCTGATTGACTCCCTGGGCACGTGTCCAGTTTGCCGACGATCGTGTGCTCGTGTCACTTGACATGGTTTTCCCTCGATTGCCGCTATCAAACTCAATTGTGTTCGATTCTGACTGTTTGCTACTGTTGAACTTGTCAATGTACAGGATGTCCCAGAAGTAATGATAATTATGCTCTAAAATTTTCATTTGATATGGAAACAATATGAAATTCACACAAATTAAAGATCAAGATGTTAGCTTCATTTTACTATATTACATTTATTACTTTACACAATTATATTCAATGTATAGTTGCCATAGCAACATGTACATGCGTTCTGCGGAGCAGCTGTGTGTTTTTCATACATTTTTGAAAAACATTTCATGTTCATATGTTTCCCTGCTGTTCACATCACTACTGTAATGCTGCTACTTCATTCCTGATATTCCTTAAGAGCATTGTACATTGTTGATTCACTTATCCACATACTGTCCTTTGCTGGAGACAATTTTTCTGTGCCTTTCCAGCCAGGATTGGGAGACATGATCAAAACCACTGTTGGACATATCCTGCAGAGCCAACTGAACCGAGCAGCGCAATTGTGCCTCGCTCTCGTGTTTATGCCACCTATACACAGTGGGGTTGGACAGTCTTCTCTCACCATATGCTTGTTTAAACTCCTTCAAAGTGTCACTGTCTTCTGAGGGAATTGACTGCTCTCTGCTCTAATTTTTCATCTTTGCTCAATGTTGGTGGCATAATGTACACCTCCCTGGAAATTCCTAGGTTGTGTTCCTAAGAGTTTTCCTTTTGTGAAACCCTATATGACATCATCATGTGATGTCATAATATCAGATTAAAGTGATAATCCTGTCACAATGAGATAAATTACATAATATTAAACCACTATGGCATCATGCAACTGTATACAATTACCATAACAATGATTTAAAAGCTTGAAACATTATCACAAAATAACTGCTTTTCTAAACTAAGTTTGAACATTTATAATATACGGAAAATGCTCCGCAGAATGCGCATACATGTTGCTATGGCAACTATACATGGAATATCTTTTATAAATTCATAAATGTAATATAGCAAAATGAAGCTTATATCTTAAATTTTAATTTGTATGAATTTCATATTGTTTCCTTGTCAAATAAAAATTTAAGAGCATAATTATCATTACTTCTGGGACACCCTGTATCATCGATACTAAACCAAAAAGTTGGTCTCGAGATATAACTAAGATAAGATGTAATATAATAGACAGCTACACGTATTTAACAAAACTTGAACGTGAACTTCAATGCGCGCGCAGATAAATGACGTCAGATTTAATTATTTCCTGCGGGCCAGCGTGAAGTTAACAGGTTTTTACATGAGATTATCATATTCGTGCAATTTACAGACGCGTATTCAACAAAGCATGAACGTGTACTTCCATGCGGGCGCAGGGAAATAACGTCAGATTAGTCTACTTTCTACAGGTAAGCGTGAAAGTTACAGGTTTTTACGTGTAGATGAGTGATTACACGTCCCTCATTACGTGATTGATTTTAGCTATGTTCTAGGATGGCCCTGGAGCCCATATTTGATACAGACAATCTTACTTGTTATATTGGTAAACCCCAATCCTTAATTGGAAATAAGTATACATTTTAATGGGTAAATGACAACTTCAAATGTGATCGTTTGTTCATTTCGTACAATTTAAATTGGCAAGACCGATTTGATGCCCGGGGCTTAATACAATTTGTATACTAAACGAAATGAAATGACAACCAGGGCAAGAAAGGATTTAGTGCGCCCTCCATTATGATCTCCCCATGAACAAAGATAAATTCATCTGATTTTTCAAAATAAATATACTGCTTTTATTATTACATTTATATGTACACTAGTATCTTGTTGACCTATATTCAGCACTGAATGGGCCACTTATTAGGGCCAATATTCAATCATAAAGTGTACAGGGGTAGAGATGCCAAACCATCAAGTCTTTTTGTGTCTGTCAAAATCCATTTGCATCCTACACATCCCTACATCTTATCCAAATATGTTATTAATTAATGAAACATAACAGTATAATTTTTGTATTTACAGAGTTGTATGGGATTTCATAAGTGTAAAAGTTGCTTTTGAAGCAATTTTTTATAGCCATTTTGTAGGAAAAAATTATGAAAGAATGTATTATCTTTTAATTTGAAGTATGACCTGAATCGATTGCAAACGTTATATTTGCACATCTAATGTGATATACCATTTGTGTCATATTGTGAAATTATTTAATTTGCAATCGATTCAGGTCATAGTGTATTTTAGGTATTTTTGTGAAAATCAATAGAAACCAATAGCCTCTATTGGAATCTGATGGTATCCAGTATCCACATGTAAGGTCAATAGAACACATCCAATGTCAAGTCAATCTACCCTTGCTGATCTAAATGACCTCAACCTCAGCCAATGTGGGTCCAAACGCTTAAATATTTTCCAAAGTATTATGTGACATTGTATTCTTAATGTTACTGTTAAAAATGATTCATTTTGTTCATGGGGAATCCATAATGGAAAGTGCACTAGACCCTTTAATTGTGGTTGAATATGAAATAAAGCAAAAATAAAAAACAAAATGTTTTACTGCGACTAGATTCGAACCCAGGCCTAACGGACATACGTGAAGTGCTAGATTGCCGAAGTGCTATCCTTTCACCATAGAGACATGACCTTTAGATACAGTCACCACATAAATATAACTCCATGTCCACTGGCATGGTTTCAGACGTGTAGCTTAACTGAAAATTTTCTACGTGTAGCTTAACCTCTCTATTATATAGGTATTTATAATGGGCATTCATTACTGATTGTTCGGGGGATAATTACCTATCGGATATCGTATCTTTGAAAATATCGGTAAATACTCACCATACCGTCTCCAACAGATATCTCCCAGGTACAATTATCAAAATCTCTGTACTTGTTACAACTGTCGTTCATATATCCTGGTGATTGTAAATAACCATGGCTACCATTTAAATATACTGGGTTACCACACTCTGCAATAATGAGAACACAATTTTTTCTTTCAAATCATTTAAACATAATGGAACAAGTAGATGGTACATATCAGTTTATAGTACATTTGAAATCGATCCTCAACTGGTTTGCCTCGAAACATGTAGACAATACTTTACAGACAAGATTTTACAACGTAAAACCTCGATATGACCATTTGCTGAATACCTCTTTTTGAAAAAACAATACTTTTCTTAAGAGTTAAATTGGACAAAGTTAACAACAATACCAACATTTTTGAAATCGGAAAAGTGATACAAACTCATAGAGGAGCTAATTCTTCTTTGCGATTTAGTGTTATAAAAAAGATGTCCGTCATTAGGGTTAACATGATCCAAAACGACCAAAAAGACCCCAAAGCATGTTTTAGATTATATGCTAAATAGATCATTTACCAGATCGTTCAATTTGAAATGAGAGCATTTTTCCGTGAACTTATTGAACGACCTGGAATGAAATAATAAGTAAAGACTTTGATTGTGGTGAATGCCAAGAATACATGTGTACAACATACTCTTTCGCATGGTGTATGATGCATGAAACCCTCTCTTGGAGATAGTAACATCACTTTTGAATTCAATTTTCCACCAATTGTCTTTCGATACATGGGTAAAGGTGTCGCGTGAACCGCAGAAGAAAAACGTTTCGCTATCATCACTCCTTAACTTCACATAGTCGTAATCGCAATATCTCACTTCTCCTTCCTCTTCGTCATCTCCTGTTTCTCCTTCTTCTAATTCAAACACATTGAACGTTAATTCGATGACCTGTTTTGAAACATGAGGAAGAATTGAAAGAATCGTTATTTCAACTTATTTGTATGTATATTTGGTTAATACACAGGTTACCCCATACATCTAGTCTATTTGCATTAGCCATTATATAGTTGCTTGTTCATGGTTGCCATTTTCACTTTACTTATTTATTTAAACACATTTGGGCTGCGCGAGGAACAGCATACTCCGCGACAGTGATAGCCTTGTCTTCAACATAAAGCTTTGAAGGCATATTTTTCATCGTGAGTATGGCAACTTCACATAAACATAACAATAACTCAGATGCGAGTAGGTAGTTAACAGTTTCAACACCAGGTGGCTCGTCCAGGTCAGGTATAGCAGAGAGTCCCATTTAACTTAAATATTCATCTGTTTTAGTGGTTCAATTTTCATATAACCCTTGTGTATCTAATAGTTGTGTAAATTGTGATTTTATAACATGAGGTCTATAAGGAATCTCCCCGAACAAGAAGCCATATTTCTTGATGTACTTTCACATGTGGATTTCAAATATGACATAAATTTGACTGGATATTGAATAATTAATGATTAGATTATTTTCTACTCGCATCTAGTCTATTGATCGAACTTCCATTAAGTGTCTCGAAACGGATACTGTGGCTGACAGTGGAAAAAATAACCACAATTTGGTGTTAATGTTCCTGGTTGTGCGGTATCTGCGATACAGGTGAATATCCCATACTTATCTGCGGTATATGGCATACTCTGCAGAAGAGTATGCCATATTCCGCAGTGAATATGCGATATATTGATTTTAGTGAATACCCGATACTCACCTGCGGAATATGTCATACTCACTTGCAGAATATATCAAACTAACCTGCGGAATATGCCATATACCGCGAGTGAAAACAGAAAGCCTCGAATTCATTGGTCGAAAGAATCGACTCGAAATGTAAAACTTCCTTGGATTACCCAAATTGTTAGCTTTGTTACATGAAACCATGATTGATTAATTAAGTTCGTGTAATTACGTGTAATTGCAAAATGATACTTCTGAAAGTATCAGACATGTGTAAATCGTGATTGCCATTATATATTGACCGAGGGCGACAGCTCTAGTGACAACATGCATTTTCCCGAGCCCATACTATATTTTCTCGGGGAAAAATTCAAATGCCATCACAACCATCAATAACCTATTTATTCCATAATATTTTTTCATCACCCCATGATGGTGACATTAAATGTAACAGTTTAATTTATTGAATGACATTTTCAACTTTTATTAACAAGATTTAAAACAGAAATAATATATAATACTAAATCGGATCATTATGAAATGTTCTGATAGTTCTGATATAAGATCTGATACGGGATTATAGCTGATACGGGATCCAATAAGGGATCTGATACGGGATTTTTGTTGATACGGGATCTGATGCAGGATTTTTTGAATATCAATTGTATACATGTTATTTTGGAATAAACGACACTTATAAGCCTAAATAATATGGAATATTTGGTATATACCAATACTCACCATTCCCTCATTAGCATATATTTCCCATTCACAGACAGTTGAAAGCGGATATGTACTGTTTGAATCAACCATGTACCCTGGCGAGGCGAAATCACCCGAACTTTCATTCAAATATACAGGATGGCCACATTCGGTACTCAGTGTGCTTGCTTGAGCAACGGTAGTCATGGAAACTGCAATGTATAATGAATGTGTTCAAAGTTGAAAGTCCATATTGCATGAGAATCTATATGAAAGTCACCTCCACATATTTAATTTAAAAGACAAAAGAGGTAGGGTAAAAACAATTTAGCAATTTCGTATTTTGTTTTGAGCAGATTAATAACTTGGATTGTATTATTGCGATCAATTTATTAATAAAACCGCAATATCAAACCTCCGTACATGTATCATTTTCTATTTTGTCAATAGCCTCAAATGATGCATAAAACCCTGGTCTCGCTAACTCTCCATCAGTGTGCAACTCCACAAGCATCCACTTATCTCTAGATTTGATATTAGACGGTATCCCATAACCACATAATGATGGTTCAATCGTTCCATAGGAATCCATAAGACTAACGTTGTCAAATTCACAATCTGGGTGACTCTCGACGTCAAAATCATGAAATGTTAAGTTAACAATCTGAAATATTGTAATGCTAATCAAGCAAATACAAGTATAGCATTAAATGGATAGTAAAAATAATGGATAGTAAATATACAAATATGGCTGAATGAACATAGCAGCGCTCTCACTTTATGTAATTACGATGATGCTATACACACCATGATGAAAACTAATCATACTAACGATGATGTGAGGAATACTACATATTACATTGTAGAGTACAGCAATCTTGATTATAAATGTATATAAATGTTTCTAAACGGGGGCCACGAGTTTCCAAAATATAATTTCACAATCATCGAAACTATACGTGTCGAACGTGAGATTTTTATAGATGCAAATTAAAGGCAGAACCAGATTCTTATTTCTATTTGGGATAATTTAAATATCCCCCCCCATTTTTGCACTTTGAATCTTATTTAACTTCACCACTATTGCTAATATATCACAGATCTTTTGGAAGATATTATATTTGGGCTTGTAAGGAATATATCAGTAGATCAATTGTAGCTTTTGCCTGCAATTCCGTCCCTCCCTATAGACCTGGTTCTGGCTTTAAGGCTTATCGTTAATTAGCAGTTCATTTAAATTAACCGTTGGTTAACGGCATTTTAGAATAAGTTTGTGCAGTATTGAACATAAAACATATCCATATTCTTATTTCATTTATGTGTTGTTTGTTTTCCCAACCGGATATATTAGGTTACTTACCATATTGGAATCGACGTTGATCAACCAGGAGATGTTTTGATTATGTCCATAGCCACACTTATCGTATCCAGGTGAGGCGAAACACCCATAGCTCCCATTTAAACAGAATGTGTGTCCACAACCTAAAAGCAGATAGGTTTATATATAGGGTGTCTAAAAAAATGTACCCAAAGTATATCAATAGCATAGACAAACGAATTATTATTTTCAGACAATATTTGCATGGTCTTGTAGTCGAAACATGTAAGTGTTTTCTCCTATACAGTAATTCAGCTTTGCCGTTTACCTTTTACACCGCATGATCAATGTAACCTCAAATTACAGTTTGCATCTTTACTACTACTACATTGTTCATCACATTTAATAATTCTGGTGAAATGTTTTGATTTTTGTTCGGATGCTGGTCTTAAGTTGTCCTAGGTCGCTTAGCTTGGGTTTAGCATAACAATGCCCCCGAGAAAAAGTATGGGCCGTCAAATCTAGTGAATAGGGAGGCCCTCACAATGTCTTATAGCCCTCTTATACAGAGCGGTCAGACGTCCAAGAAACTGCATTGATTGGAATTCTAATGTATCCTTTGTTGTGTGTAGAGAGGCTCAATCAATTTGAGACAACGGTGTTTTCATTTGGATATCATTTGGTCTCCAGGCTAGCCTGCGTAACTCTGAAAGGTCACTCCTGAATCATTTGCCTATAATTGACCTGATTCTCTATGTTTGTTCTTCCATCGTCATCCTCAAACTCTTTTTGCTGGGTATATTTAAAGGAGTTTTAATGCTAATTCCAAGCAGAAAGACCTAGAACAACTTAAGGGCAACATCCAAATAGAAATCCAAAAACGTTCCACCAGAATCATTATCAAATGTGATGAACAATGTAGCAGTTAGGATACAAGCTGTCATCGAAATATGAGGTAACATTGATTAAGATTCTTACTTTTGAGATTAAAATATTTTATATTAAGTCACTCTGTACCTAAATTCACCGATAATACAATATTTTGTAAAAGAAAAAGCTGGGATTTGAACAAATATATCGTTAAAGATTACCAGATTCGTTGCTTGTCATTGCACACTTATTTTTCATGGTTGGCGGAGAGGCTTTATCGATGCTACTTGTAGGAATTTTTGTAGGCGTTTGAACAGCTGTTGTAGATGAGCTTTCCCCAATTGTAGAAGATATTGTTGTTGAAGATTCCGTGTTGACGGTTCGATCATTACTTGTTATTATTAAGATCTTATCTATTTTCGTATTTGTTTCGGATATTCTGGTAGCCTCTGGAGTCAGATTTGCTGTAGTCGATTCCGTGTCGACAATTGAATCATTTCTTGTTGGAGATGAGGTCGTGTCCCTTGTCTTGTTTGTTGTTGATATCTCGAGAGCCTCTGGAGTCAAATTTGCTGTAGAAGACTCCATGCTGGCGATTAAATCATGACTTGTTGTGGATAAGGTCGTGTCTCTTGTCGCATTTGCTATGGATATCTTTGGAGCCTCTTGGGTAAGATTTGCTGTAGAAGATTCCATGTTGACAAATGGAACATTTTTTGTTGTAGAAAAGGCGGTGTCTCTTGTCGAGTTTGTTGTGAATGTCCGTGGAGCCTCTGGAGTAGAACTTGCTGTAGAAGATTCCATGTTGACGACTCGATCATTGGTTGTAGATAAAGTCTCATCTTGAGGTACATTCAATGAAAATACCCGGGTAGTATCTGGAGTCGTAGAAGAATCTGTTTTAATTGCTTAAGTCTTTCTGGTTGTAGCCAAAGTTTTATAACTTGTTCCACTTGATGAAGATTGCAGGGTACCATACGAAGTCGTCTTTGTCGTCGTTGTACTAGATTCCTTATTGACGGCTGGATCATTGATGATAGGAACTTAAAAAAAGGAAGAAACGATTATCCGTTTCTGATGCACCTGTTTAGTTAAAAAGAACCACTTCAATGAAAAGGTGCATCCAAATGTATGACTTTTAGTCACTGTAGATTTCCTGATGTAGGTTTGTTTAATGTATTTTTGCATCAGCACAATTTGATTTGACTGGTTTAATGTGATACATTTTGATGAGCAGATATGCTGTGAGACAGAAACCGATACCAAAATTCAGACCGTCGCTAACCATTGTACACTCTTACACAGTCCGATCATTGATGAAATGTTAGCGATTACGGTATGTTGAAGCTTTAACATGTTTGGGTTATTCAGTTTATTTCTTTTAAGTTACCTCGTATTCGCGAATTTGACTTTCGGCTATTGGCTACCAGATTAACCTTCTGTTTGCAAACTAATTTGATTATGAATGGAACAATAGCAGGTTCATTCATATTAACATTTGGTAACAAGATAGTTGGTTAATTTGTCAGCCGATAACCGGCAGTTGAATTCGGGAATAAAAGGTTTAAATTGAACTTAATAATAATTTTACAAAACAGACAAAATAGTTGTTTTGACACACGCTCAAACATCTCTAATTTTGGTGTCGATATAAAATGGTTCCATATCTCATCAATAAATTGGCTCTTTCAATATCCTAAGTAGCCGTCATGTGCGTCACTGTTCACTTAAATAATTTCCAATCAGTTTAATTTACTATCACGCGCTCTTCCAGTGCTTATAATGGCTTGATATTGGTATTGCTTAACATATATTTAATTTAACAATGGGTTTCGTTATTGAACATATCCAAGCATTTATCAGTCTCGAAGGCAACTTTTGCCATACTGGTGTTAACTTTTTCAAAAGCTGCAGAGGGTTCAAACGGTGAAAATTGCACGATAGATCAAGACAGGTTGATTATAGTTATTTAAACTAAAGGAATATCACGTACCAAACGTAACAGGTAAAAAACGTTAAAGGGAGCTATATATTTTTGTGTAACGATGGTTCCTGCATGGTGTTAGTGTTAGAAGGGGGGGGGGGGTTATATGCAATGCTTATTTACATGTTAGACCATAAGCCTAACATTCTGGGATTTGTTCCTCTTGATTTGTTGTGCTCCAAATCTCCCACTTTCTAATTGCTCCTTTCTTACGCTTTTTGTCCTTTGTGGATGATAAAACAATTTGGAATGATTAAAAGGCATAGAATGTGTATATCTGACTATAGCTTTATACATTTCTGAATTTTCAAAGAAAACTATTAGTAATTATGTTTTATGCAACTAGAGTTACAGACCCTAGAAATGTAAAACAGATATGTTATCTAAAATAATGTGGTTTCGCATAATATTATGTTGTTTTATAAAACAAACTTTTACCGTTCAAAATGTTGTATTATAGAATGAACTTCTACAACGTAACTATCTAAAAATATTTTTTACTTGCCTTTAAAATATACCTTGTAATCCAAACTAATTTTCGAAATTGAGCAATTTAGAAGGTAAACATTTATATACCAAAAAGAAGTAATTGTATTAACTTTAAAAACAAATCGATACGTCATATATAATGCATTAATTTAAGATGCTGATTGACTTACCAATTCAACTGTTACACAGTGATATTTTTTAAACCTCCCCATCTATAAATCTAATTAGATATTTATCTATTATCTATTTAAAAATGCAATATTATTCTGATGTATCTTAAGCCGATGTCGGCGGCTAGGTTTTTAATCATGTACATAAAATTTATGTATTTAAGTATAACGTCTCTGTATAACCACAGAGAAATCATGAAACATACTAAATTAAACTTACCAAAATGACACCAAAACACCAAGAATGCAGTGATTACGGCAGACGTACCAAACATCGCGACCGTTTAAACAGCTCTCTGAATGATCACAGCTTTAGCGCGATACATGATGATAAAATGTACAGAATGTGGAATCGCACATTAATTCCATTTCTAATTTGCTAATATTTTTAATGATATACGAGGGTGATTAATAACTTGTGGATGTGTGTATACACAACCATATATTTGGTATTTAATTATTAATCATCTAAATAACTATTCGGGTTTCTATTGACATGTTTTCATGATAATGTTTCGTATGTCTCTATCCTGGTTTA